TATATATATAGAGAGAGAGAGAGAGAGAGAGGCTATGATTTTTACAGAATAAAACAAATTTAGAATTCGGAAAATCATCATAGTTACAACATTGGTCCATCTTCTTACGTTTTTCACATTCAACTCTCAATCCTTATTGCTTCCATCATTTATCCTTATATTTTCAATTATAACAACATACTTTTCAAGCAAGCAATTCTCACCCAAATAAGTGATTTGACAAATAAAGCATCACTAGGTTCAATAGTCAACATGTAACAGTCTAAAAATCCTTTTGTTAACGATGTTAGTATACTGTTATATAGGATTAAACTTTATGTACGTTTATGGTGTGAGATATATATGTTTAATGTATATAGTAAAATAAACAAATAGCAATTAATTATATTTTTAAGGATTTAGTTGAGCTTTAAATGATTTAAAACAATTAACTAAAAAAAACATAATATATTATATTAACTAATATCCTACTTACTTAAAAAGGGTTTGTTTGACGTTTAATTTTAATTAGGGGGTTAAATGTCAAGAAGGAAAAAAAACTAAATATTAAACCAAGTTAATTTAAATATTACTAGTGCAAAATGTGAAAGTCATGGGGATAAGCATAGCTTTAGAAAGTTGAAGTTGAAAAGAAATAGAGGTTAGGGTAGGTTTTGAGCAAGTGAGGAAAGACGAGGGATCATTATGGAAACATTAAAGTTTAAATGGATGATACGTTCTCCGAAAGAACGCTTGTACATATCCTTTCTGTTTCTTAAGTTACAGATCATCCATAATGAGTATATGTGTATAATTGCGATAAAAGAGGATCCGAAGAGGCGTCGCTCACGAGAAACACAATAAAGAGAGATAAAAAGGAAAAAAAGAGAAATGGGAGGTGGTATATTTTGTTTTCCCTGGCGATGATCAACCGATAGCAAACTAGGAGGTGTTAGAATCAACTACGAACTCAGTTCTGGGTTGGGACGAAAATGGTCTAGCAACCCATGAAAGTTCGTCTTACGGGTTTGACCATTCTATTCCAAGTCTTGCTAGTGAATTTACGGATCTGACACAGTGACGAATCTAGAACCAAAAATCATATGGTTCTTTATATAAATAAAACTGAAATATATAGGTCTTTTAGCAAAAAATAGGTAGGTCTTTTAGCAAAAATAAGATAGGTCCTTCATATTTTCTATATATATTTGTTGTAATTAAAAATAAAAAAGGTAGGTCCTAGGACCTACCTTCTACACACTTAGCTACGCCGCTGGTCTGACAAGTTTCTTGCTTTTAGTATGCAATGGATTCAAGCGAGTTGTTGGATGTGACGCGGGTTGCTTGAGAAGGGTAATTATCAGCAATTAAATAATGATGACATGAACAAGGCTAATTCTTGGGATTGTAGATCAGGTGGCGTGGATGAATGCATCTTCTACTGTCTCGCAGGTTGTTCCACGACTATAAAGAGTATATGTTACGAAAGTCATGTGGTACAAAGGGGGTGGGTGTACAAGCCTACGAAGCTCAATGTATATATTGCATGACTTCAAGGAAGATAAGCAGAGGCGAATGCATGAATTGATACTAGGTGTTGCCGAGTTGAAGTAGGTGTTACCTGTGCATGAAAAATAAATAAAAAAATCGAAAAATCGAAAAAAATTTCACTGCGTACAGGAAAAATAGGTATTGTTTGTGCAACACCGGGCACCACTACAAATCCGCCCCTGAAGATAAGGTGGGTGGCATTAGAGATGGTGATCAACCATTGGTGGGTGCTCTTCATGTTGGTCCAATCAAGCGACTGTGTTTGCTCCTCGGTTCATTCTTATGTTGGTATTTGGTTCGGTTAAAGAGATACGAGTGTGCGTTGGAGTGATTGCATTGTCTAAAATTAAGTGTGTTTCTAGTTTTACGCACTAAGGTGTATAATTGAAACGTGCAATCCGTATATGGTGAATTGATTCACATTGGGATGACTTTGTTATTACTTGTGCTTGATGATGATATAATATTTGTGATGCTACTGTATGCTTTGTGCTATTGCCATATTAGTTATTTGCTATGATGCTTTCACTTTGATGAATTTGATGCATATGACAAGCTAGTTTTTGGGAGTGATTCGATAACTTTCTTAACTTTTGTGAATAACCGAAAACCACATCTCATAAGTGGATTATTGATGCAAATTAGGATTATGCTAGAGTAGTTACTGCTTGTGATAATTGTTTGAAAATGCGTTGTTTGCATCTTGTGCATGGTTATGCCTTGGAATCGGTTGATATGGTGATATGCATGTTATGTGTTAGTTGCAATTGCATGTGATTATGATGGTTAATGAATTGATAGTCATATGTTATAGTATGGTGATAATATGATGAATTTTATTACATGTTTTATTGCTCGTTAAGGTTGTATGAGTAAATGATCTATTTTTGTGTATGTTTGTTTTGCGAGGTATAATGGTGTTATGGGTAGAACCTTGCAAGTCTAATAGGTTGAAAGAGCTTAAGCCATATCAGTTGTTAGTTGCATGGTCTTTCTAGATGGTCGTGTGACACATGGTTCGCGTGCATCCCAGTGTACGGGAATTGGAGTGGTGCTGACTTTATGTTGTGTACGGATCAAGCATCCCGTGGGAATCAGGATGTGTATTGGTAGAATTGGCACCATTTATACCGATCCTGAACGACACCACAGAGTACTTGTACTTTGCAAAGTCGGAGTAGTGAATGTGGAGTCTCGGGGTTGGTGTTTCGGGTGGAAGTCATGAGCCACCTACAGCATTCGATTGGCCATGCACACAAGTAGTGAACGGAGTATTTCTACTGGGTTAGGTAGCACTAAAGGACACTTGTTTATCATACGGTTGTATAGATATAATAAAAGGTTGAACATATATAACAAATGTTGGTTATTAATAAAATGTTGAATATATAACAAAAGGTCGATTATATAATAAAAGGTTCAATATATAACAAAAGGTTGGTTATTAATAAAAGATTGAATAAATAATGAAATGTTGGTTATTTATGGAATGTGATTTGCTTATATGCTATGCGGTTGTCTATATGGTATACGGTTGATCATATATGATATGTGGTAGAATTGCGGCTGAACATTTACGCATGTATGCGTTTGAACATGTGATTGAATGATTATGATATGGAGTTGTTTGCTAAGTGGTATTTGTTTCTCATTTTTATGTTTCATTGTAAAATGAATGATTAACCCATTTGGGGTTTGTATGTTTATATGCAACCTTTATGAACTCACTCAGCAGGGGCTGACACTTGTGTCTTTTCTCTTTTGTGTCTTATGATTGGTGTAAGCAGCTTAGGGGTTTGACCTTGTTGAGAGGGGTTACTTATGGGGTAATTATGCTAATTAGATGATACCATTTTGGATACGTCAGATGTTTTATCAAATTAAACAATTAAACATTTACTTTTGTTATGTTTCAAATGATTTGAAATTATGATTTGATTTTGAGGTAATGTGGTGATTTGAACATGTTTTGAAATAAATAACCAAGTCTTTTGCTAACGTATTATGTTAAAAAGTGTTTTAAAACAAAAGAAAAAAAATATGGTAGAAATCACGACGTTACACAACATGACAACATCCTAGGTCTACCTTAAATACATCACACTAAATCTTGGGTTTATATTTAGGGTAACAAATCCGACAGTCGCTTCGTGTTTTTCTCTGACACGATTCAACACGAGAAAGTTTTATGTAACATGAACACGACACAACACAATGTTTTTTTTAACTAACACAAAAATAAATCAATTAAAAAATGACAAACATGACACGATAAAGATAACATAAAATAACAATTAGTTTATTTAATTAATAACCAAAAGGCTTTTGGCCTAGCGGTAAGAAGTGACTCTTTCGATTAAGAGGTCATGAGTTCAAGTCGCGTTGGAGGCATATGTGGTAATTTAAGAGTATATTAGTTCGCCGTTCAAAAAAAGTTTATTTAATTAATACTTAATCATACATAACACGAAAAAACACGACAAACAAATGTTAAATCGTGTTGAATTATGAACGTGACACGGCGTCTTGTTTTTTTACACGTGACACGAACATGACACAAATTCAAATTTTAGTTTCATCCTAATTTTGCATCAAAGTTTAAGGGTGTTACAAGTTACGAACATAATGCTCATTTTAAGTCACCTTAAATATCCATTCCTCTAAATGCAACCAAACTGCATAAAATAAAAAAATATGAACTTACTCTATCAACACCTTTCTCGCTAGTTTTATCTGTATTTCTTCATTAAATTGTTGCTTACTTTTTGCCTCGTTGTTGCTTACCTGTTTGTTGCCTGTTGTCCAGAATATAAAAGGCCCAAAAAGTCGGACCATTTTCATTTGGTAAGGGCTAGCAAGGAAGAAAGCCTAATACGAAAGCCCAAAATAGTTTGTTTCAATGCCCAAAGTCCCAAACTGACATCTTTACGAATTCGGAGAATTCTTCTCCGTCAAGCTGGGCGACGACGAAGAGTCGAAGACAGGAGGGATCAGTCCGAACACCGATCTATTGTTGTTAGTTGATAACAGCTGAAAGTTAGCTTTCAGAAGGTAAGATCTTTATTTCTGTTGCCGGCTAGTAATTGATAAGATTTGCTGCTTATGTGACGAACCCTATGAGGAAATATCGCGCTCCCTGTTTCTGGTTGATTTTGTTAATTGTTTGGAATTTATGCATTATTTAAGGGGAAGAGAAGGAACTGTTGTGTTATTAATGGTGCCCATAACCTGTTTGCTAAATTGCCTAAGTGCGTTTTGCTTCCATTTTTATTTATTTTGGTTCGAGACACGACAATCCCTTGCCTTTATGCGTTAGTTTAGGGCTCATTAAGCACAGATGCAAGATAGATGTTAAGCAGGCATCACTACCATCATATCATCATATGTACAGTTTGCTAATACACATCGCTAGATTAACAGTGACTTTTAGGGACGAAAACTCAACTAGCGTGACTGAAATAACAATGTGAGTCACTCGTTCAAGAGCTTTGGTCTGGACGGGTGCTTGCTCATATATACATTTGCTTTCTATCGTGTACATATCAATACATTGTAATCAAATTAGATCGCTGTAATCACACATTTATGCTGTATATTTTTAGGGTTTTGACCATCTTTCTAAAGTAATGCATTTTTTTCTAGTTTTCTTGGTTAAAGACCCCAGAAGGCACCAAAGGCACTCAGAAAGAAAAAGAGATAACAAAAGAATGAGTATAGAGAAGGAAGAAGTGGTAGTTTTACCTAGAAGAAAGGTATCATGCACTACCTCCTTCGATAATCTCTGGTTTTGCTATTGTAAGTCCTTGCTCTCACTTTTTCTCTTTCTCTTCCCTGTGTATGTGTATGTCTGATTTTTATATGCACATGAATTCAAGATTTATGATGCCCTCTCATTGAATCTAGAAAAAAAAAGTATCTATACATATTTAATATGCGACTGAAACTTTTTGTGATCATGGCAGCTCCAGTACATCAATTGCAACAATATTATAGACTTGGATCCCTTGATAACTGTTCTGGGAAGTGGAATGCTATGATTGATTGCTTAAAACTGAAAACAAAAAGGTCTCATGAAGTTCAGGTACTTTCATCTCCTTATTATAATTTGTAAACAATGTATTGTTACATATTATCTCATGTTTTTTACTATAAACGTTTACACTTATATATATATATATATATATATATATATATATATATATATATATATATACTTCTAGGAAGTGTAGTTTTGTTTTTACAGTTCTAGAGCCCATTCAACTTCAAACCATGCTATGTTATATTGACATAATCTAATCTTAATTGTTTTTTTCATTTTCATGTCCTTAGCATGTAAGTAACATGAAAGTGGTGGGATGGGTGTATCATGTATGTTGTACATTATTTTAACATACATGATACATGCTACTATCTATCTATCTCTTGAGTCCTTGGTACAAAGCATAGATATTAGATTATATTCCACTTGCGTAAGTGGTTTTGCTTTTCTTTTGGCTAAAGCATCTTTGATATGAAAAGGAAAGAGGACACCAACTTTTCTACAAATCATCATCCATCTTTTGAATTCCTGTTTAGGACCTTTTCAGGGAGCCTTTCTAGCTCTTTAGTCTTTTTGTTCTTTAGAAAAAGTGAAGACTCAATTAAGAGAACTAACAAGATTCAAGTAATGAATGGCAGGAAATTCTTGAAACCCGTGAGAAAGAAAAGACCCACATTTGGTCTTTTAGGACGCCAGAAGAAGCAGCATCTCATTGGAATGACTTGTTTGGACATGTAAATGATGCCGAATGAGAGGTTTATTAGGAGGGGTGTTATAGTAATTTTCCTCAAAAAATGACAAAATATAGATAAGAAGAAACTTTAATGATGAAAGCGGATATTTTATTTATGAAATTTGTTTTGTTAATTAATGGGTAATTCGAACAATAATTACGGGGATCCATTCCCTCAAAAAGTGGTAAATTTTGTAAAACGTTATACTCAAGTGGGCCTATGTATCCTAGACTTTGGGTACAAAGCGATGAAAATGATTCAATGATTGTACAATGATACTATAGTCATTAAATGGATTTCTTGTTGAACTCGATTTAAATTAATATTGTTTAATTATCCAAAGGCAAAAAATTTATAACGTTATGATTCTTCTTGTTTATTTGTTTGTCGGTTGAAGGTGACAAATGACAACCGGGGGTATAGAGCATTGAAGTGTCATTGGCCATTAGTTTTGAGTATATCATCAATTATTATTTTTCCCACCGACGATGTATGTTGCATCAACTTTCAATTTTCAAGTATCTCTATCAAATATAATCACATCATCATATGACATGTATCCTAAATTGATCTTTAGACAAAATGTCATTTTTGCTTGATGTTTTTAAGGATTGTTAGTTGTGACGTGTAAGTAAATAAGAAATTAAAGATGATAAAGCAAAAGTAAAGTATTAGGTAAACTAAAAGCAATGGAATGGGGTGGGGTGGCTATATTTAGTAAGAATTGGTAGGGCTAAAATGGACAAATAAAGTAATACTTTAAGGACTCAAAGTCAAAGACCAAGATTACGAAAATTTATTTTGAATTTTGAACATGGATTTAGGTTTTAATAACTGTGGCTTAATTCGTGGAACTTGCTTACCCGTTTGATTGATTGATTGATTTTGTAGAAAATAACATTCAACCATAAAATCAGGATTTTTATTTTTATTTGATGAAGATATGATATGGAGTTTGTTTATAATTAGTAATTACAAATAATTACATTAAAAGGAATGGTATATTGGTATATTAGTATAGTATTTGCATGTTGTGGCACTCTTTCCGTCTTTCGACTGTTTGTCCGTTGAATGGTCTTTATCAAGCTTTCTTCAGCAGCTATTTAAAGCCTCTCCTACTACTAGTTGAATATTTGTATATTATTATGCCTCTACTCTTTTTCCTTTTTTTTCCCTTTTCTTTTAAATCATAGATTAGAAAACTCATCTTGGAACCAAAAACCAAAAAAGTGGGTCACCTAAAAGAATACAATTATTATGTAATGGTTAATAATATGTAAAGGTAACAAATTGTTTTTATGTATATACTTTGTACACCATTTTGTTAAAGTTAAATACAATCTGTTCAAAAAGCCATTAGTTTCATCGATAATAGCATGTTAAAAGGCCAATTTCACGAGTCTATGTGGATATTATGTGGAAATTCGTTATTGAATTGTAACGGTAAGTAATGTTCATGGAACTTTTTTTTTACATGATTAACCATTGAAATTATCAAATACTTTTAAAAAACACTACATGTTTCATGTAGTGATCGAACAATCCCATACGATTTAAGAATGAATTTATGATCTGAAATCGGTTTGAAAACGATTCAAACCGATTTAGGAACTAGTCCGGTTTAAAGCCGAGCTAACGGTTATACCAGTTTGAAGACTTTACTATTGAAACTGGCTTTCAAACCTATAAAAAATGATTTTCATATAGTAAAAAATGTTGTTTTCATTCATTATTTCTTCAAATGTTTTAGGGGTAGGATGTATGAGATACACATTTCTAAAAATTAAAAGTTGAAAAATTTCCGGAAAAAAAACATTACATCATGGAAAAGCAATGTGATGCTTATTGGTCCGTTTCCGATTAACAATCAAAATTTTGTTAAATTCTGAGACCGAAAGCAAACATAGGTTTTTTAAACTGGTTTTGAAGCGATCATAACCGGTTTCTATAGGTTTATATACTTTTGCTTGGAAACTAGTTTGGACTCAATTCAATTTTAACTTTGTTGACCAAAACCAATCCGATTTGAGAAATAAATTCGGTATTGTTCATGGTACACATATATGTTTATTTTAGTGCCATTAGAATACCCAATATCCAACACTTGTCTATAATCAACATTAGTGATTAGTTTTCAATACTTTCAAACCATCTGTCAATAACTAGTTAGGAGCACATCATTTAGTTAACTTATCTACAAGCATGATGAATTCATTAAGCCCGCATACAATTAGAAATCCACATCTTCAACTGATCCAACCACACCATTGTAGTATATGAGAGGTTTAGGAAGGGAAAACCCTATATGATTTAGGTCAACCGTTAATAAAGTACCTGGAGAGATAAAAGTCATGACATTGGCTTCAATAATTCAGAACTCGAGCTTAATCGTTCCTTCAACTTCATCAATAGAGCTTAAATTGTTTGTAATGGTTTACTATCCTAATTTACCACCTTTAAAACCTTCGATGGTTGAATATTACTTAAATATGTTTACTTTGCTAACTAATTTCCAAGTAATATCCACATAGGCATTATATTTAGTTAGGGATGTTATCGATTTAAAATGCTATTAACGATGAAACTATTGATTTTTGAACGTATTTCATAACTTTAGTTATAAACAATATACAAAAAATAATAATTAATAGGTGAGTAATTATGAGCGTAAAAAACATTTAGTTACTCATACAAGTCATTTAACCCTTTCGTAAAACGTGTCTATGATAACACACTCGTGTTCAGAAGTACTGAGTTGGTCTTTTGATCATTCCACAGGGGCATAACATGATAGATTTTGTATTGTTTCCATGGGGAGTAAAGACTGAGACTTCCCAAAAGTGAAGGGTGAAATCAGAGGAATCAAAATTCACTAGGGGGTGAATTGGCATTATTAGCTTGTGTGTTGAAATTGTTAAGCCATCAAATCAAGACTAAGTACAAAACACAAGCGACAAATTTGACGGCATAAAAAAGATTTCTCCAAACTATAACGACCGACACAAAACGCACCAACCCCTTTCTATTTATAACACTTACATCAACGGCTACAAAATTACATTTTCAACTTTAATTTATGACTTGTAAGTATATTTTAAAGTATTTAATGAACATTTGTTATACTAAACTTATGTAAACCACTATTTGTTATCTAATTGATCTTTGGTCTTTTGGCTAATTGTTAGCTTTTATATTTGTTTCTTTAATTAATTTTTTTTTTAATATAAATTTTCAAATTGAAAGGAACACTATATATGTCATATGAAAAAACAAAATATTTTCAACGTTCTAAAGAATATACTAAGATCTTTAAAGATTTTAAA